TTATTCCAGATAAGTTAACTCTGCGTTTAACTAATTTTATTCTGTAATGATTTATTGCAATAATGATTAATTGCATTTAATATTTTGCCCTTCCATGGACAATCTCCAGTAGACTGAATTATTTTTGAAGTAGGAAATTAAAAACTAGACACAGTATTTATACTCATTAAGTGCTAGGCTACTGTTTTATCTGTGACATCTCAGGTTGGGATCAGATTTATCATTTCAGTTTATTATTTTTTTTTCTAGAGAGCATGGTGTTATTTACTTATTTTCACTTTGCTAATTTCCCAATCTTTTTTTATACACCTGTTTAGCCAGGTACATTCTATCCTAAGTTTTACAAAAATCTTTTTTGGGGGGGGTAAAAATTATTAAAATGGAGAAATATGATAACACTTGTAAAACATGACATGCAAAAATTCTTTTGATTAGTCAGCATCAGATACAATATGGATAGTCGTAAGTGTTGTCTTACATATTATTTTTATTGAAATACATCTGATATGTCAGTGGAATTTTATATTCTGGTCCTGTTGTCTAAAGCACTTGCAACTGCTTTGTTTGTGATATGTCTGTGTTGTCATTCAGGTCATGCATATGCAGTGATATCATATGAAAAATTTACTTGATGAAAGATTGTCAAGTGTTGATGAGGGTTTTTCTAGTCATGGTCCATTCCTGGCTACTGTTCTCCAGTCATGTTAGCAGCACGCAACAAGTTCCAGGATGAATACTCAGTTTATCTTTACGGAGGGGTATTCACCAGGTTTGTCACACTGTTTTCTGAATATCTGTATATAGTATTTATATCTCAAAGGTGAATCTTCTCCATTTTCTCCCTAGTTAACTTAGGAATGAATAGGTTTTATTTCTGCTTTCCAATAGTGTGAACTGTTGGTACATATCTACATACTACTACTCTGTAGTACCACAATCATTATTTGGTTACGTACTAAGATTTTAATTTCTTCCTGTTTGTTTCCTCTGTGTATTGTAAAGTTTAGAGACATCTATGTGTTCAGAAGATTGACCACTGTTTTCTTTGTTCTCCTTCCAGCAATCGTATTATTTATCTCAGAACCTTCTCCTGGCTTTTGGGCATTTGTCTATGCCATTGCAGATATAAATATTGAGTTATGATGCCACCTCCCTGCTGATCCTTCTTTAAAACTGCTGTCCTGAATAATTCTTCCTTGTACAAGATGGACCTACCTTTGTTCAGTTGTCCTCAGTGCCGGAACACCACCTTGTGGAAAAGGGAAGCAGAACTTCATCTTTGGTTAGAAAGATTGAAAACGTCTGAACCTTCAGATTCTTCTCCCTTACTTTTGGGTCCTTTCAGTTACTTTTGAGCAGCTCTGGGTAATATTTACCAGTGCTATTTTTGTCCATATAAATGAGCTTCATGGAATAAAAATCAGAGGGCTGAAGGAACCTCAACACCTTTACTAGAACTAGTGAAGCAGTGACAGAGCTTAAAAAAGTGTGTTTATTTAATTTGATTACATTTATGGTTGTATCAACTTGATTATACTGCTCTAATTAAGCGTTACTAGGATTTTCTATAATAAACTTGAATTTTCAGCTATTTATAGTTGAAGGAGAATGTTTCCATACAGATATTTGGCATTCAATGTCTCAAGCTGAATGGTGTGGTTTTCCTTTTTCTATTTTTTTAAAAAATACTCTCTGGCTGCATTCTGTTTTGAGGGAGGCAATTATTTTGTGGTTTTATATGCTTTTTGTTCTCCCTTGGCAAGGCTTGATACATGGAAAAACAAATTTTCCAGGCTCTTAGTATTTTATGTCAACTATTTCCTTTTTGATACTTAAAACATGATACTTTGGTAGTCATTACTTTTTAACAGAGATACTATATTATTCAATAAGCAGTCACCCCTAGGTATTTGCTGTAACTATTTTTTGTATTTTGTTATATAAAAATACTTCATATAGTTCAATTTAGTAAGTAATTTTCCTGAAAGAAAATTACATACCTGACATGTTTGGTGTTTAATGTAAGTACATGTGTATTTCTGCAAAGTTCACCTTTTTTTCCATTTTCTTAAAATGTAAAAACTCTTTTTCATTTTTCTGTTTATTTTTTCTATTTATTATCTGTAGGCCCTTTAATGTCATACTTGCAGGTATTGAAATTCTCTAAGTTTGTCTCGTTGGTTCTGAAAATCCGTCCTTTTACCCCAGGGCATGGTGCCTATTTGAAATGCTCCAGTTAGAGTTTAGGGAACTCAGTTCTTCAATTCACAAAACCCAAGTGCTGGTTAAGGTCTAATGCCATCTAGACAGTAAACAGAGAAGGGTGTAACTCTGCCTCCGTTCTTCAAGACTTCAGTGTGTTCTGCGCGTTTGAAGCTTGACTAATGAATGCAGATGGCATTGAGTCTGGCACAGACTGTGGCTCAGGTGATTTCTTAAGATGTGATTTAAGTAATGTGCAAATATTCTGCAAGTGTGACACTGTGATCTGAAGACTTCACAAAAAGTAGTTTCCTTTTTCTTGCCGACAGCATTACCAAGTACATATTTCTGTTTTGGAAGAATGTCCCAACAACTAGTTACCGAGTATTCATTCACAGGGCAGGTGAGATTTAAGTGAGGAGGTACTTCTTTACTCCTCTGATTCAACTCTGTGGTAGAGAATAGAAAAACGTTAGAGTAATTTTAGCAGAAGATGGTACACGTATTCTTACTAGCCTCCAGTTTATTTCTGAGTTTTGCTCTAAGCTGTCAGTTCATTAGTTTGAAGAGTGTAAGGATTTGGTCTGGAGTATTGCCTTGAGTTTCCATTATGTGGCCCTTGTGGGAGTCATCCCGTATGCTGTTCTTGGTGTTGTGTTCAAGAACAGTGAATTCAAGTTGGGACTGACTAGTGGACAGGATGGCTATGGAGAAAATCGGGGGCTGAGAGCTCTGGACTATGGCTTAAAGAAATTGTATGTCTGTAATGTCACAGATGGAAAATAAAAAACAATACTTGAATGCCTTTCTGCAACGTCCCTTCCAAACTTCTGTCCTATTCAAAATCCACGGGCTGCGGGTATCACCTGAACGGCTGTGTGAATGGCTACTGCATGTGCTGTAGCTGTGTGAACTGTTCTGTAAAGACAGGTACAGATCTTTGATTTCAACAAAAGTTTTGCCACAGTAGGAACAGAGTAGGATTTATAAGATTTGGCCTAGAAATTGAACATTTTTGCCATCTAAGTTTTATGGACATTTTTCATGCTCTAAATTAAGCTTGGGTTCACATAATTTGTTTTAGCTCCCTCTTTATTTTCCAGTCACAGCTTTACTCATAGCACAGCTGTGGCATTTGTCTTGCAACAAGAAGGATCTGATAATCATGAAATATCCCAGATTTATGCCTGTAGTGCTGAAGCAGTGCCATATTTGTGAAAATAACTTAAGAGAAACAATATGCAGCAGATGTGAAGGTTTTACCTTCACATTTAAGTAGGTTTATACTGTCAGCGGGTGTGGGCTTAGCACGGCCTGACAGAGTTTCAACCTACCAGATGTTCCATATGATCAAATAGATACTATACAGCTGTTTCCCATTCTTTTACTGGGCTCAGATAAATACACAGTAAATGCTCTGAAATATGTTTATCGTACTTTGGCGAGTCCTGCAGAGAACTACCCACAGGCACCAAGAATGAGGGGAGAAACCAAAGGTGCTCATAGGAATGCTCATTTTTCATTACTGTGAGGAGAAATTAGCAGCCGTTTGGTTGAAACAACCCTGATGATACTAGCCAGGGAGGGATGAAATATGGATTTTTCTATTGATTGTGGATGGTGTGAGATTAGCGGCTGTATTTATGGAGTGACTTTGGTTTGGGGGAGCTGTGACTCCCATGGGTGTGAGCTGTCCCTGTGTGCTGACAGTATCATCATTCCAGTGGTGTTAAACTCCAGGTAGAGGTGGTGGATGCACTGGAGCAGCCGTCCCACAGGCAGCTCATGTTAATCCCAGCTCATGCTTTCAGAAACACTGGAATGGAGAACTGGTTTGGCTTCTGTATTCAATACAATATAGAAAACAGGGCATCTCCAGAGCTCATGGCAAGGCTGCCTGTGTCCCTCCTGTCCACTTCTCTGAGCACAGGAAGAGTGCCACAAGTTGACCATGGGATGTATTTTTAAAGACACATAACTTTTAGGGGTCAATCCAACCAACTGCTCTGAACTGTTTCAGGATTTAAAGACCCAGTTTACATTAACTGCCACACCTGTCAACTTGATTCAATAACAGAGCAGCTAAATATTAAAAAAAGAAGTTTCATTTCCCTTCGCCTGCTTTTCTACTCTTATTTCTCCTTCCTCCCCCTCCAGTTCCCCATGCTCTCCTTAGCCCTTTGACCTTACTGCTGCCTTCCTTCCCTCCTGTCCCCATCAGCTTCCTGCCTTTCCAGAGCTGCCCTTACACCTGGAAGATTCTTCTTATCTACCAGAGGCCTTCCTTGCTCTCTTTTAAATCCTTTTTAAAAAACTTCACCCTCAGAGAAGTAACTTTCATCTTTCATTAATAATCTCTTCAATATTTCTTGACTGCTGTGTTCTTTTCAGATTTATAGCCTAGTCTTGCAAATGTTTACAGGGCTGTTCAGTTAAACTGAGAACATTCAGTCAGAAGTTTGGAGGACTGGATTGTTCATTGTGAAGATTTTTGAAATGGGATTTTTTTTCACTGTAAAACATAATGTTCATTTATGGTTCTATATACATTTTATAATAAACATTTGTGACCTCAGAGGAGCGGGGGAGCATTCACGCAGCTAACTTTTGCTTTTGACTTTTATTCCCTAAATCAAGGTGTGGAATATGTTCTCACAGATTTTTAAATGCCCTGAGCAAGCTTCCTGTTGACAATACAACTTCATACCCAGAATCATAGGAGAAAACAACTACATGCTGTGCCTTTGATCTTGGTGACCTCCATTGTTTTGTGTTTCAAATATTGTTTTTTATTTCAGGAACCTCAAGCATCTGGACTACCTGAGTACATAAAGATTGTAGAAGTTGGGCCAAGGGATGGATTACAAAATGAAAAGGTAACTTTTCTCCTTTTTTTTTTTTTTTTTTTTTTTTTTTTTTTTTTTTTTTTTTTTTTTTTTTTTTTTAATACTTTGACATAGACAGTGTTATTTTCATTGTGCGGAACATGTACATTCTACTAATTAAGTTTCTTCCCTTTTGTACAATTAAATATATCTATTTCTTTTTCTATTGATAACTGTTCTCTGTATTAGAATAAAAGTGTATTCCTATTTTCCCAGCTTTTAAATCCTAGTTTCTTTCTACACTTGGCAAACTAGCCTTTCTGTTCCTTAACTGCCGTTTCTTTTTCTGGAATTTGTCTTGTCAGTGGATAGCATTCTGTCATGATGTAATTGGTAAACACCATGAAACACTAACTATCTTTGTAACATGTGTTTGTGCTCCAAGTGCTAATATAGAAGACTAAAATGGGCTTTATCATGCTTCCTGCTAAACAGACATGGGGAAAAAATATTACTCTTCTGATAGTAGTATTTGCCTGAAGGACTGTAGGGAAGCAAGGAAGAAGATTGAAAGAGACTGTAGGGTACATGTATCAAAACAGTCATCTGTTTCCACAAACAGGAGGATAAGCTCACATATATAATTGTTCCTGATATCAAACACGTTAGTAGTACTACATTAGTAATATTAAATGTCAATATTATTTATTCATAATATTATTAATATAAACATGTTAATAGTATTGACAGAATAGAAATACTCTGCCTCAGCTGTGGAGCTTTTCCCTCCCATTTTTCTCTGTTTGAATTGTTACTATTTCCTTTGCTGCTTCTTTGCTAGATTAGTGTTTGGTTAGTTACAAGTAATTTTTTTAAAGGCCAGACCTATAACCAGTTAGACAGAAGTGTTCTCTTTTGCGATGGACAGAAAATGGAGTAGGATCATGTATACCACCTTGTGCACTTAACGAAAGTTTCTTATCATATGAAATATTTTACTAAAGTATTTCTCCGTGTCTGTAGGTGATAGTCCCAACTGATATAAAAATTGAGTTAATCAACCGGCTTTCCAAAACAGGCCTGCCTGTAGTAGAAGTGACCAGTTTTGTTTCATCCAAATGGGTGCCTCAGGTATGTAAAATCATCTCCATTCAGAACTATTTCAATTTAAATGCCATTCCATTTATGTGATATTCAGTTGTAAGTAGATATTTAGGATGATGACAAATCATTAATATAATTTAATGTTCCTACTTCCTTTTTACTCTTCTAAAACTAATAATCACTGATGTAAAAAACAAAAGTAGCATACCTTGTTTTCTTTTTCCCTAAATGAAATGTAATTTTCCACATTTGGAAATGTGTTTGGACTGTCTAAATTTGGGACTTTCTTATATGCAGTAGTACTTAGGCATGCTACTTATATTTTGCAGTTCTAGCACTCTATCAGCAGCCACACTGAGTTTTGATGAATCATAATAATTTGCTCATTATTTGTCCAAAATTTTTATGTTTGGTACAATTTAGCAGAAACCCTAGCCTTTCTGAAGTCAACAGGAAAACTGAATTGGCATTAGTAGTGCCAGGTTTTCATGTAAGATTTAACATTGCAAATTCAGGCTGAGACCTGAAGGATACTACGTAGGTCCTGTTTGTTCAAATTAATTATTCCCTGCAAGTAAGGAAATAAGTCTATATAATTAAGGAAATACTTGTCTATATAATTTAAACTATGAAATTGAACACTTGTTTTCACAGAAGCATTTGAATGCTTTGTTTTTAGTAAGGATCACAAGTTATTTACAAATTAAAACATGAAACTAATAATTTGAGAAAATACTTCAATTTTTAACAGCGTTTGTTGCTCATCTGTCAAAATATATATAAAGTTTTATATTTTAAACTGAGAGTACATCTAGGGCCTGGGCTGTATTTTACAGCTTTTATCTGAGAAAAACAGTGTGGTCATGCTTATTAATGAGTTAGCAAAGCAAACTGTACAGCACTCTGAGACTCCTTTGATTAATTTCAGCGTTCTCAGGATCATCAGGGAATAGTCTAGAGGACGGATAATAGGAAAGGGGAAGAGTGACAATGCAGAATTTCTTTGGCATCAGTGCAGGGGCAATGATTTTGTGTCTATTAAAAGTGACCAAGTTTTTCCAAATGACTTTCCAAATGCCATCAAACTTTGGCAGTAACTGCAACAGAGAATAATGTAGGTTTTTAAACATCGGAAGAAAAAGTCTAAAGCAAAGGTGTATTTCTTTCTTTCTTGTTTAATTATTTCCTTTTCCTGTGAGCCATTAATTTAGCATGGGTTTGTCAGTTTTGGAAAAAAAATGAACAATCCCTTCTTATCTTAAATTCATGTCTGAACACTTTGTTTTAATGGCTTAATTTGTGCTTAAAATGGTTTTTTATTTAAAAAATAACATTGTATTGCATTGATAGAGAGTGCAGTCTTGACTTTGTCTTTCCTTTGCTCCTTTCTTTTTTCTTTTCATAGGTCATGGGAATAGAATTCACGGTTATGTTTAGATCACTCATTCACTTCTTTTTTTAGTATTTTAAAGTTTTTTTTATGGTTTCCAATCTGCTGTTGTTTTTGGCAGAGATTTTTTCACTGAAAAAAGCTATAAGAAAAAGTTCCACAGTAGCAAGGTGCCATGTAAAACAGGATCCCACACCTATAACCTAAGCAGCCAAAAATTATAAATACCTACCATTAGGAAGCTTATTTTAAAAGAAATTTGGAAAAGAAATATTTTATTACAATTTAAAATCTTGTAACATGAAATATGTGTAAAGATGGGATTTTACTTACAGGAAAAATAATAATGGGACAAATTCAATACATTTAATATTATTTAGATCTGGCAGGTTTATACTTGTTGAAAAAGCGTCATTTTGGTTTTCTAGTGTATTTTAAGTCAGGCTATAATTGTGAAGTGTGGATTTAGTTCCAACATTTGCCATTTAAGTAATCATTTGGTTTCAAACATTCTTCCTTGTCCTGAGAAATGTAGATCCTATTTATATTAAATTAAGGAATATTTTTTCTTAAAAATTAACGTCTTAACAAAGGTTTTTTTGTGAGGTTATCAGACTGATTTAGTTTAAGTAGAAGCAATTAGAAAAAGTTGCCTTGTGCTATCACTTGTTTCCCGATGAGAAATTAGTTGTGTCTGGCTATTAGACACTTTTCATATCCACTTCCTTATAGATGTTGGGCTTACATTTGAGGAGACATACATGCATTTTTGTGATATTTTTAATCCATTAATTTTCAGAGTAGGAAGCCAGTGACAGGAAGATTCCAGGTTGCCAGTAGTATTCTCAGTTAATAATGTGGTGTAATTTAATATCATGTATTTAGAACTGTGGTACTGCATAGCTATCAGTAAGTATCTGCTGAAAGTAAGACATACTGAAAACTTTGTATGTCATATATCTTTTCATATGGTACTTCTCAAATGACTTTTCACCACTGTGAAAAGAATCAGAAATCCATTTTAATATTGTTTTCTTGAGAGATTTGCTTTTATGAGAGCTGATTTAAAAACTAAACACTAAACACATTATTTAATACCTGAAATCTTTAAGATATGAAATGAGGGATATGTTTTATTAACTATGTTGCTTTCAAGAATGCACACCACTGAAAAATACTAATTTTCCATCCACTTCTTTTAAGAAAATGTGCTTATCTAAATAACCTGGTTTGTTTTACATCAATAAGTTTTTCATTCATCTTCTTGATTAGTACATGTAGTATGTTTAATCTTGAGTGTGAATGAGAAAAATGTAAGAGTGTCCTAAAAAGGCAGAGTTTTTGTGAGGGGAGACTAAGGAAAACAAGTCCTTGAATAAAGTCTTTCTTTTTAAGGAAGTATTATCTTCTTTAGAAAGAAACTTCTAAATATATTAAAATGCTTCACTATGCAGACAGTTGGATTTTGCTATATTTTTTAAGGATAGACTTGTGTTTAGTCTTTTCAAATATGGTGATTACAGTTTGAGTATTTCAAGTTCAGTTATGCTTAACATTGTGAAGTTGCATTTATCAGAGTGCTGAAGTTTTCAAGATTTGGATGTTGTTTAAATGTCAGTTGTTCTGTTAATTCCACCTGTTGAGTCCAGTGAGGCAAGGTTAAAGTTGCTGTAGCCATTGATGAACAGCACGATCACAAGTCTGTCAATTTACGATGCAAATTACATTTTTACAAATCCACACAAAAAGAAATTGTAGTTCCAATTCTATAATCATAGAGATCTGAAAAGATTGCAACTCAAATGCTCAGAAGTTAAGCTGTATAAAATCAGAAAATGACTGCTGATCAATACAAATGATTTATATATTTTAGATGGCAGATCACAAAGAAGTAATGAGGGGCATCAAGCGGCATCCTGGAGTCCAGTATCCCGTTCTCACGCCTAATCTTCAAGGTTTTCATTCTGCTGTAAGTGCCTTCATAGATGTCCACATTTACCTCCTTTATCTTTCAGTTCAGCACCATAAACTAGGTATTTAATGTTAGAAATAAGCTAATTGAAAAGTCTCAGTTTTCTTTATGAAAAATGAGCAAATTTACAGAATGATATTAAGCTCTATGTATGTATATTTTGATGAAAGTGTTGATCAGTCTTTTTAAATTCCTTTAAATGATGCTTGGATGTAAAAAGTAAGACAGTTCCTTCTTCTTTGACTTGAAAAGTTTGCCCTAGAAAAGTTTCTGAAGAGTGTCTTCTTCTTGGAAAGTACTGAAGAAGAATGAGGATATGAAAATGCTTTATAGCAATTCTGCATTTCATTTTGGTAGGATTTGAAAGTTTAAATTGTTTCAATTCATATGAAATAAATACTCAATGTGTTTGGAAGTGTGAAAATAGAGCAGTTCAGTCTTAAAACATATACATTGATAGTCAAATCTTTACACTTTTCTGTTTTCTGAAAATTTTTAATACTTCTATGCTTCTGCCCTGATATAGGACAAACTGTATTTGAAAGTATACTGCTTGATGGATATTTGTGGTGTAGTCTGTCATTCAGTTCCTATACTGCATTTGAAATCTCTGTTAAAACAGAATCCTGTGCATAGTCAACTTAGCTATCAATAGTCAGATTATACTGCCATGACTTTGTCTCAGAGCTAGCTTGCATGAGTTGAATTATTTGTGCTATAATGTATACAGTATATCTCAATGCTGTATTTAGCAATATAATGAAAGGAAAACAATTAAGAAATAGTTGTATGTGATTCCTGCATATTTTGCTGATATTTTTTCCCTCTCTTTGAAAGAATATTTGTCCCTGTAAGGGTTGCTGAAGCTTAGACCTTATTTTGCAGAAGCAAAGACTAACAGGAAAAGCTTCCTCCCTTCTCATAGAACAAGAGCATTATTCTCACTGGAGAATGAGAATTTAACTTTTCTCCTAAGCTGAAATATTTTCCACTCCTATCATTTCTCTTTCAGCCTTCTAATTTGCTTCATGTTAGCTGATTTACTGAGTACAAGCTCAGGCTAATTGCCCCCTCAGTGAAGTCACCACCTTTACACATTTTCTAGACTGGTGTTTGCTCTGAGGATTTCTCAGCAGACTCTCACATACACGTATTCCGTATTATCCATATCAACTATGACACCAAGATCAATGGAGCCCTTGATCCTAAAGTTGGCTCTAATAAAGAAATCCCTATTAGTTATTGTTGCTGCTTCTAAGAACTTGCCCATAGAGAGCTTTCCCAAGCATGGGAATGACTTCCTGGCATTCAGGAGGAACAGACATTGTGCAGGTGATGGATATTTCAGAGTTGTTATATGATGTTACCCTTTTCTGAAAAATAAATATGAGTATCAATAACTGTTATAGTTGGTTCATGTGATTTCCTGCATCTTACTACCTTTATCATTTATCAGTTTAAAAACATGTTTACCTCATTGCTAAGAAGAGGAAGGAAATAGCCACAGTGAATGAACTCAAAATTTGGTTCAATCTGTCTGTATGCGATAGCTTAAAAAAATTTGAATAAAACCTATATTTAGATATGGATGCAATAATTAATGTACTTTAAAATTCTGGAGTGTTGTACACAATTAAATGCTTGATCTAATATTTTAATATAATGTTGTGATGCTGTTTTATTGAAATGTATTTTTTAGATTGCAGCAGGAGCTACAGAAGTCTCAGTATTTGGCGCAGCATCTGAATCTTTTAGCAAAATGAATATTAATTGTTCAATTGAAGAAAGCATAGAAAAGTTTGAAGAAGTTGCTAAATCTGCAAGGACTATGAATATTCCAGTGCGTGGGTAAATATAAAGATTCTAAAGTAATATAGAATTATTAGAGTTACTGTTACAGGGGATTTTGGTACCAGTAGAAAAGTATACTACCAAATTTTTACGTTTTAGATGAATTGTAATAATAGTCATTACTGTGATTTTTTTCCCTAGATTGAATATATTTAGTAATTTTTGAATTTTTAACTAGTAATGGTGACTACTTTTCTCTGGAAATTGGAAAAATAATTGGGTTTCTGAGATACCTATTTTATTATACAAATTTATTTTTATCATCACAGATGACAAACTAAAATTTATTTTGTGCTGTTGAGAATTCATAACACTTGCCTGCACCTTAAAAAAATACCCTGTATACTTTTATTTTATTGTAGCATTCGTAATATATCACTTCATACACTGTAGCATCAAGGTATAAAAATGAGAAAACAAATTTACTCCTAAGAAAAAAATTATTCTGTATATAAGTTATTCTGAAAACCCCAGTATTGAAGTTTTTGGAGTTCCAGCATATGAAAGTCTAGAATTGTCCAGTATTTATTTTTTTCTTTCAAGTACTTTCTTTTAAACTTAAAATAATCCTGAATGATACTTACTCTAGAACAGTATTTGTTTTTCATTTCTTTTTTTTTTTGTATCACACAGAACTACTTACTTGAGATTATTTGCAAAGGTCCTTTTGAATGTGGAAGGGCATACAAAGGTTCAAGGACAAACTCAACAGTGAGATTGCTTGAGGATTACTAGTAATGCCAACTACATCATGCTCAAAAAATACCTGGATGTGAAAATAGATAGAGGTAGATATCTTAGAGACTAAGTGCTTGGAAACCTGTCTGGGAATAAATACTAGGATCTCTCTTTGCTCCCAACATAAGAAGGACATGGAACTTTGGAACGGTCCAGAGGGTGGCCACAGAGTTGATAAAGGGACTGGAGCAGCCCTCCTATGAAGACAGGCTGAGAAAGTTGGGGCTGCTCAGCCTGGAGAAGAGAAGGTTGCATGGAGACCTCATAGCAGCCTTCTAGTTTTGGAAGGTGGCCTGCAGGGAAGCCAGAGAGGGACTCTTTGTCAGGAACTGTAGTAACAGGGCAAGGGGGAAAGGCTTCAAACTGAAAGAGAGTAGGTTTATATTCGGTATTAGGAATGAATTCTTTACTGTGAGGGTGGTGAGGCACTAGAACAAGTTACCCAGTGCAGCTGAGGACGTCCCATCCTTGGCAGTGTTAAAGGCCGGGTTGGATGCGGCTTTGAGCAACCTGGTGTAGTGGAAGGTGTCCCTGTCCATGACAGCGGGGTTGGAACTAGATGATCTTTAAGGTCCCTTCCAAGCCAGACCATTCTATGATTCTATGATTTTCACACACACACAGAGCCAACCAAGGATAGCTCATAAATGCGTGGGTTCTTTTCCTTAGCCTGGTTATGTTTCAGATGGAAAATCACTGAATAAAGAAGCAAGGACGTTCACTGTATTAAGAAACAATAACTTTTACTCGAATTGAAATACTCTTCCTAGCTGCTAATCTGCCAGGTAGTAAGTTTGCCTGCCTGAATAACTTCTTTTATAAGAGGTCTGTTGTTTAAAAGGTCTCTGCCACAACTCTTTGCCTTATTGTTCCGAAACTTAATTCTGAGCTGAGAACATAACTAGCAATTTGAGTTCTCTGGGAGGATTAAGCCCAGGAATGTCTGAATTTTAGGTCCCAGACAGGTATGAATAAGGCAATAGGTAGTCAATTCAGAAAACACAATGCGTGTTTTAGGCACTTGTGAACACTATTACACTAAACTTCTGTTTTCTGGTTTTCTCAGATGTCTAGCTATGTCAAGAAATTTTTCTCTTTCATATTCCTGTATTTTACTAGTAAAATTCAACCATGTAGCACAATAGAGGCAGTCAAACATCCAGGGAATCCTCAAAGCCTGTGCATTGGAGAAGTTTTTGGATAACTATGTCTGTCAACAGAGAGACTTTGCAACTGTTCCATAAGATGGAAATTGCAAGTGATTAAGAAGCCTCTTTGGTGTACTGTAGATTGATTTTTCAGCTTAAAATGCTAATTGGTTTTCTGTGCACTAATTTTCACATGCTGGAAAAAGTAGCAACCTGGTACTATTTTTTTCCCACGGATTATATGTCTTAGGCATTCGTAATGTGCCAGAAGCAATTATTCTGGCTCTGATACACTGATGTGATGGAAGTAAGTGTTCCCATGATAGGATTCTATAACATTCCCAAACATTTATTGTCCACTGTCTGGAGAACCATGTGGCTTTTATTTTTCTTTACACAGAAAAGAAAAAAAAAGAGAGAGAGAGAGAGAGAAGTAGGGGTAGAAAATGGTCAAACAGAAGGAAGACACACACACACAAAATAAATTAGAATAATAACAAAAAGAAGGAGAACAAAGCAAGGAGATACAAAGAGAGGAGTCTTAAGAGCTAAGTAGTGAAGCAAACAGAAAAACAGCAGTACAGAGATGAAGAGAAATGAGATAGTTGAACTCAGGAAAAATGAAATTGGGTTATGTGTTAAAAGTGCTTACTTTGTGCATCCAGTACCAAGATCTGTAATTTTACTTCAATGTGCAAATGTTAGGCAAATTTCATACAGTACATGCAGGACAATTTTATTGAGTCTGTCATGCAAGGTGCTGTTACTGAACCCTTCAGCTGTAAACTGCTTAGTATCACATAGACTACAATGTGATCAAATTCAAAGTCGAGAATGAAAATTACCTAAAGTGCACTCCAGCTATAACTTTCTTCCTTAGGCTTACATGCCCAAGAAAAGTGAATCCTTCAAAAGTAATAAGCCGTTGGCAGAAACATTCAATTTATGGGATTACACCCAAGTAAAGAATCTAAATAGAGATGATAAGTATATTGATGAGAAGCTACATTTATGTGAATGTTACATGTATCTTCATCACATGATATTAGCGTGAGAATTACTTTATCCAGTGAAAATTGGAGATTGAGGCACCAGGAGATAAGATAATGGACTAATGCAGCACTTCAGCAAAACAAAATGTTTAGGAAAGAGCTGCTGGTATTTTTCTAGGGGGATCTGTTATAACTCAATAATAAAGTAGCCAATCTGCTAAAAACCTGCTGAGAATCTAAACTGCAGAATATGGAGCCTTATTTCATAACAAAAACCTCTAACTGAGATAATTCTGAGTATACACTGAACATGCATTTCAGTATATGAAAATATTGAAAAGAAAGTTTTGAACATGCTAATAACGCAGAAGATAAAAGAGAACTGGTTAACACCATACATTTGGACTTTGAGTGCACTTTTAAAAAATTCCTCACAGGGAGATTTTGAGGAGGCAGAATAGTAATTAAGGAGGAGTAAAATGATGCTATGGATCAGAGTCTAGACTAATATGTTTTTAAGAGAGCAATTACCAAGTATTGATTCTTGTCCCTGCCTTTTCATACTCATTCAGATGCACTCCTCGTGGGTTGCAGAGTTACAGGAATCCCTGGGACACATGGATACAGAATGATTGCTCAGGAATAATAATAAAAAGGAATTGGTTAGTGTCCATTTACTTCACTACTTTCTTTTAAGCTCCACTGTACTGTCTTTTATTTTTCTGACCAAAAAATAGCAGATTGAATATAGAAATACAGAAATCAGAAGGACTTCCTTTTTTTTTTTTTTTTTTAATAGCAGATCTCTCAGCAGTTGAACAAAGTTCTAGAAGGTGGACTTAAAACTTTTAATTAGTTAAAAAATAAAAAAAATACAAAGAAGAAGCATCAGTTTTGAATGGCAAATCCAGGAAGTAAGTAAATCTGTTTACAGCATTTCAGATGCTTGTGAGGGGAGACACTATGGATCAGACTGTCATTTCCAACTTAATTCTAGAAAACTAAACCATGATCTTCTCTGGTAGTAACAGCCAACAAAAGCCTTCACTACTTTAGGGATTTCATTAGTACTTGAGAGAAAGTAGTTCATTAGTTCCCAAATATTGCAGTCCATTTAGAAGACTTCTGAAGTTTTACATTGTATTAAATGAGGTAAAACCTGGGCTTCTCTTCCTCAATGAAAAAAGATGTGAAAAAATAATGAGAAAGTAAAAACTTAAACTGAGATTTCACAGAGATATTGAGGGCAGCCAAGGTGACTTTTTCCTGGAAATAAAGCAATCAAAACCAAATTAACTAATAAGACCTATAATTTATAATCCCATATTTAGCTGTTGTTAAAGAAGCTGCTTTTAATGACAGATAAAATAAATGGGATTTTGGTATCCCATTCCATGAAAAATTCTCTAAATGCTGAGACAGCCAGGGCTTTGTGGCAAGTTGTTCTTCACATTCAGTATTTTGAATAGGTGCTCATGGTTTGAATGGTAGTTATTTAATTGCAAAAAGATTAGTTTCAGGTTTTATTTTGTTGTTTGGCTTCTATTTACTGAAAGTAGTTAAAATATTGATGTAACATGATATGAGCGTGACTACACAAGTCTGAACCTGTCATCCTAAATCTTCCTGTAGTAACTATAAGGAATTAGTCAGCCTTCAGGCTGTGGTTTACTGTATGTGCTTTCTAAAGTACCTGCCTTAGGATAAGATGAAACACTCTCTGGATGATCCATCCTTTTGATTAAAGGAGCTTAGGTCGTATCCAATGCTGGTCATTCTACAGATGGCATAGGCTGTAGATGATTATCTTTGATATCAGAAGTAAGAACAGATGAATCCCAGCCTGTGCATAGGCTGAGGATTAGGACTTTTTAATTTGTGTAAGTTACAATAGATAGAAGAAATAGATTTTGTGCTGCAAGGTAACACAAAATGAAGCTGTGGACTTTAAGGACAAAGGTTTGTACTCTTTGGTCTTAATCACCCTTTTAGAGACTGGCTAATTTAAGGAACCATGGCCAAAACCTGCAGCCTTTCCTCAAGCAAGCTCCCAGGACTACAGATTTTGGCTTCTAATATAACTTTTATAGGCTAAATATTTTTATAGAATTACTTAAGT